CTAGATTTTTCAACCGACTACGTAACATTACCTTGCGGTGGTTCTGACAGCGCCAAAAATTGGAAAAAACACAATTGTTTTTGCATGAAATCAATTTGAAAACACGATAACACACGATTCTGTCGCCAGAATGAAAGGGAGACAACTCATATCGAGTTATACTTATTATAAATATTGTGTGTGTGTGTGTGTGTGTTTGTTCGTTTATATATGGGATCGGATTTCCTACATTTTTCAACCGATTTCAACAAAACTTTACTTTTTTTGGCAGGTAGTGTTTCTTATTGTCTTGCACACTTTTTTCTTGATTTTTACATTCGGAATGCTTTAAGAATTCCATTTACAAGACAATTGTTTATAATAAAATTCTATTCAATCAGTAGACTCATAACGATTGAAAACAATGTTTTTGTTTGAGTTTGGGTTTGACCAATTCGTGAAAAAAAAAAAAAAAACTAATTAAGACACGCGTGTCCGTCAACTATAAACAATAATCTTTGTCAATTTTATTTTTCAGTCTTTATGATGGTCGATACTTGATCTATCTCTTACTGTTCCAACGCTGGGCAACACCAGGCTCTACTGCTAGTATATATATATATATATATATATATATATATATATATATATATATATATATATATATATGCCTATTTGTCTTGGCATTACACACACACACACACACACACACATATATATATATATATATATATATATATATATATATATATATATATATATATATATATATATGAAAAGATTTTATTGCTGATACAAAACTTAATAACCGCCATAAATAGAAAATTTTGTTTTATTGCCACTCATGTTAACAATTAAAAGGAAAAAAAGGAAAAACGAACAAGCTAACCGGTTTCGAAACTCGCTCAACAGAACTAAATCGCGGTTAATAAAGATCTAATCATTAAGAGAAAGATGGACAATATTTAGAGGGTGAATTCTTAAATTGGAAGCCCAGCACAAGATCCGTCTGATTAAATAATGAAGCTTTCAAGGAAGAAATATATATGGCCTCCAATATTCTCAAATGGTAATTTGAGTGGGTCTTACTGAGAACGGAAAACAAGTCCACACTAAAATTAACAGCACAATTATGATTATTTATTAGGGGATCCTCGATGGAGGACACATATGTGTTGGTCAGAATGTCTGACGGAGAATACTTAAGATTTTCGGATTTTATTGGTACATGTTTTATTCTGACCTTCAGTCTGACCTTTGAGTCGTTCTTTCTAAGTAGTACGAACCACAGTTACATTTAAATTAATAAATCAAAGAACTATTATGATGAGGAGGAAGAACGCCTTTCCACATGGATGGAAGGACAGGAGTGGCAGAAAAAACAACACGAGTGTTAGCTGTAAAGTAACAATGTCTAACTACTAAAGAAACCCGCTTAGCATATATTTCACTGATACTACATATCCAAAGAAGGCAGAGGTACACATGACATCTTTCCACTGTAGCCGGTTTAACTTTATTGAATTCCGAAATTTTATTTTTAATTAGAGATTGAACAACGCCTAACAGATATGCATTGTTACAGATTGCTGCAGTAATAAACTTGAGTTCATTATCTAGCTTGGTTTTAGAACAGATCATGGACGACCTATGAGTAAGAGTCTTAATTAAATTTATTTTACGTTTTACGGGATAAAAGTGTCCCGAGATACAAACCGGTAAATGTTGGTTTTCGATAAAAAGATGTAAGAAAACCCGAATAAGTTCTACTACCCAAAATATCAGGAAAAGGGGAGGGAAGAACTAATTTTCTTTTCTTGTGTAAATTTAAGAGCTGTATGAATATTGTTCAAGGGCGAAATAAAAAAGTCCGCTTCAGTCTTGTTATTGAAGAGATTAAAAGTGTCATTCACATAACAGATGTAAACACCAGATCTATTAAATTTAGATAATACACTCTCTTCATGGAGTCCTACAAAGATGTGAGCTAAAATGGGTCCTAAACGGGAACCCATTGAAATACCATCAATTTGCCTATACATAACACAGTTGAAACTAAATTCAACCTACATCGTGGCAAATTTCAGCAGTTCGACAAAAACATCCTCAGAAATAACAACTGACTACGCTATAAGGCATCTGCATATATATATATCAATAGTCTCAGCGAAAGGGACGCAGGTAAAGAGGCTAGAAATATCATAGGAACACATAAATTTGTCAGTCAACGGGTAAAGTCAGAAAATTCAAACGAATCTTTAATACAGGACGAATTATACCGTTCCAAAACTGGCTGCAATATGGTGGTATGCCATTTATCCTTTGTCCTGGGCCTCCACTTAATTTCCATTTAGAAATAGTTTTGTTTTTCTTCCCTTTCATATTGCCCATCTTTTTACTGATGATTATACCTTTATTAACCTCGATTTAGATTTGTTGAACGGGGTTCGAAACCGGGTTAGATATCACGTTTTTCATTATTTTTCTTTTTAATTGTTATGATGTTGTGTCTATTGATGGCGGTTATTTAAGCATCCCATATATATATATATATATATATATATATATATATATATATATATATATATATATATATATATATATATATATAAAGAACGGTAAAATATATAGCTGGTGTAATTTTTTATATTTTTATTTTTAGAAAATAGTGCTCAATGTAAATTTACAGAGCATTAACATTATAACTTAACTGATTTAAAATATGCTTTTTTCGCTACACTGTAATAACCATGTTTCAAAAATGGAAGCTAAAAGCATCAAATTTAATTTTGTAATTAGATTGAAAACATTAGTTCTATTTCACCCTCAAGCGAATTTTGGAGTAACTTATTTTTTTAAAATTTACTGAGTTTTAAAGGCAACGAAAAATTCATAATTCATTGTTTCCAAGGATACAGAGATCCAATCATTCAGACAAGGTAGCGGGTTTATTTTTATCATACATATATATATATATATATATATATATATATATATATATATATATATATATAAAAACTGGGAAGTTTTTTTTCGCAACGCGTTTCATCCGTGAGGATTTCATCGGACTGGGTTTTAATGACGTTGCCACGTCTACACATGCGCACGAAATCAAAGCCCAGTTCAATGAAACGCGTCTCGAAAAAAAAACCTTCCAGTTTGTCATATTTTTCTAAAAACTTTTTGCTGATATATAAAATTATACAAAATTATATATATATATATATATATATATATATATATATGTTAGGGAAATTCATGACAAAGTGGGAAAATTAGGGATTCATCGCAATAAGTCGATGTTTAAGTTTTATGACTAGATAT